TTTCTGCAATATCTTTATCTGGTTTTGGTATCAGAGTAATGCTAACTTCATAGAATGAATTTGGAAGTTTTCCTTTCTCCTCTAATTATTGAGATAGTTTAAGAATAGGTATGAATTGTTCTTTAAGTGTTTGGTAGAATTTACTTGTGAAGCCGTCTGGTCCTGGACTTTGGTTTGTTTGGAATTTTGTTGTTGTTGGGATTTTTTTTTTTTTTTGACTGTTGATTCAATTTTATTGCTGGCAATCAGTGTGTTCAAATTTTCTACCTATTTCTGATTCAGTTTTTGGAGATATGTCCCTAGGAATTTATCCATTTCTTCTAGGTTGTTTAGTTTGTTAGCATATGATATCTCACAATATACTCTTATAATCCTTTGTATTTCTTTTGTGTTGGTTATTTCTTCTCCTCCATTTATAATTTTGTTTATTTGAGGCCCCCCACCTCATTATTTTTTGACAAGTCTGGCTAAAGGTTTATTAATATTGTTGGTATTTTCAAAAAACCAGCTCCTGGTTTCATTGATCTATTGTTTGTTTTTGTTTTTGTATTTTTTTAGTTTCTATTTTGTTTATTTCTCCTCTAATCTTATTTCCTTCCTTCTTCTGGCTTTGGGTTTTGTTCTTTTTTTTTTTTTTTTTNTTTATAGGAGAGAGAGAGAGAGAGACAGCGGAGCAGGGGAGGGTCAGAGAGAGAGGGAGTCACAGACTGAAACAGGCTCCAGGCTCTGAGCTGGCAGTCAGCACAGAGCCCGACGCGGGGCTCGAACCCACGAACCGCGAGATCATGACCTAAGCGAAAGTCGGACGCTTAACCGACTAAGCCACCCAGGCGCCCCAAGGGTTTTGTTCTTTTAAAGTGAGGGTTAGGTTATTTATTTGGGATTTTTCTTCTGTCATGATGTAGTCCTGTATTGCTATAAACTTCCCTCTTAGAACAGCTTTTACTGCATCCCAAAGATTTTGGACCATTATATTTTCATTTTCATTTGTCTCCATGTTTGTTTGTTTTTTTTTATTTCCTCTTTGGTTTCCTGGTTGACCCATTCATTGTTTAGTAGCATGTTATTTAACCTTCATGTATTTGTGTTCTTCTCAGACTTTTTCTTGTGGCTCATTTCTAGTTTCATAGTGTTATGGTTGGAAAAGGTACACAGTATGACTTTGAATTTGTTGAGTTGAGACTTGTCTTTTGGCCTAATATGTGATCTATTCTGGAGAATATTCCATGTGTACTTGAAAAGAATGTGTATTCTGGGATGGTATGTTCTCAATATATCTGTTAGCTCCATCTGGTCCAAAATGTAATTCAAATGTAAATCAAATTGTTGATTTTCTGCTTCATTTATCCATTGATGTAAGATGTTAAAGTTCTCTATTATTGTATTATTCTCAATTACTCCCTTTATGTTTGTTATTAGATGCTTTATGTATTTGGGTGCTTTCATGTTGAGTGCATCCATATTTATAACCGTTATATCTTGTTGTTAGATTGTTCCCTTTATTATTATATAGTGCCCTTCTTTTTCTCTAGTTATAGTCTTTGTTTTAGTCTATTTTCTCCAATATAAGTATTGCTACTAAGGCTTTCTTTTTGCTTCCATTTGCATGATAAATGCTTTTTGTATCCCTTCACTTTCAATCTGCATGTGTCTTTAGGTTTGAAATGAGTCTCTTGTAGGCAACATCTTGATGGGTCTTGTTTTTTTTTATTATCCATTCTGTCACCCTCTGTCTTTTTGTGTGGAGCATTTAGTCCATTTACATTCAAAGTAATTATTGACAGGTATGTACTTATTGTCATTTTGTTACTTGTTTTATGGATGTTTTTATAGTTCTTCTATGTTTCTTTTTTTCTTGCTCATTTTTTCCCCAAATTTGGTGGCTTTTTCTGCTGATATGCTTGGATTACTTTTTCTTTATTTTTTTTGCATACCTGTTACCAATCTTTGTTTTGTGGTTATCATCTTACACATATAGCAGTCTATATTAAGTTGATTGTTGCTTAAGTTTGAACCTATTAAAATATCATTTTTTTAAAGTTGATCTTTCATATATGTATTTCTGAATTATATGACATACATAGTTTGTATGAGTGAAGTGTATAGTTTGTATGCTGTTACTGCAGCGTAATAGCCTAAGAGATCAGTAGCTTGAAACAGCATAGTTTGTTTCTTGTTCATACTTTAAAGTTCTCTCCAGATCTGCTGAGGGCTCTGGTCCATGTTGTCATCATTCTTGGACATGGCCTGACTCAGTCTCCACCATGACCAGAGGCCAGAGCAGGTGAAAGAGATATGGGGAATTATGTACTCATCCTTAAAAACTTTCATATTTATTGGCCAAAGGAAATCATGTGGCCATTAGTAAACAAGGGGCAGACATGTAATCCCACTGTGAGCCCAAGTAGAGAAGAACCAAAACATCTACAAGTAACCCTAATTATTACTACATACCTTCTTACTTGCTTTCAGAAGTGATAATTAAAAGGCTTTCAATAAAATCCTATGTTTTCATTTTACATGGTCTTATTTTCTCTAATAATTACTAAATCCGTATTAAGCTTTAGTTATGCATCCTTAAAATAATTACTAGGTGGCCTCCCTAAACATCAAATTTTAATACTGATTGTGGTGATTTGCTTAGATTTCAGGTTTCTTAGATGGTTTCAACTGAGGCTGCACATTAAAATCACCTGGGGAGCTTTTTATTATTCCAGATCACATCTGAGACCATTTAGAACTTCTGGAGGTAGGACCAGGCATCTATAGTTTGTAAAACTCAATGCGCATAAAAAATTGAAGACCCTTATGCTAATCTGCCTTCCCCAAAGAGTGCTTTGTTGTTCAAAATAGAGTAAGAGAGTGCCCCCAAAGAGAAGTTTTATTAGGGTTTGAGTATAAGGTGAATTTCTCTTTTCTGAGAAGTAATTTGGGGAATAACACCTTGTCTCTTTTGTATGTTGTGTTATAAGTTATGTTATCGTCTCTTTTATCTTGCTCTGTTACCCTCAAGTATGAGGGCAAATATTTTCTTTTTTGTTGTAGCTGGTTTGTTATATTCTGATTTTTTTTACCCCTGTGGTTGTAATTTTTCCATAGGAGCTAATCATCTGAAGGGAATGTGTGGAGTATGGAACTGAGTGTTCTAGACAGTTGTTGCCTTTTGTAATGCTAGGCATTAAAAGTTTCACCATTCTGGACCATTCTGTGAGCCTGTGTGTTGATATGAATTGCAAAAAAAAAAAAAAACAGGGATGTAAGTCTTTTATGTATACATACATCACATGCACAAATAGTCACAGATGCGCGTGGGCACGCACACGCACACACACACCTTGAATGGTAGGGAAGAATACCAAAGCAGAGAGGGGGTCCAGAGAAAGGAAGAGACTTGTCCAAGACCACAGAGTGACCTAAAGTTAATGAACATCTTGGTTTCCCCACCTACCCGTGGCCTGACTGGCCTGACTTATTGTCTGATTATGAAAGTGTCTGTGTTGGAACATATCTGGGATGGTCAGCAATGACTCAGCAAATTGGAAACTGGGGGGTCTTGCTCTGCTCAGTCCATTTTCTTCCCTGAGGTTGGCTGTGGCCCTTCATAGTCAACTCCCCATTGGATTTTTAGGGCCCAGACACTGCTGACCATATACCAGAGTGTGGGTAATCGGCAGTTTCCCAGCTCCTTAGAGCCATGGGGATTGTGACCCACAATTCCCTCCATCCTGCGCTTTCAGAAAGCAAACCAGCAATCAAATAGTAATTGTTTCCTTCTGTGTGGATTTTCCCTTGCAAAGACTGCCGTGGCAACTAGGAAGCTGGCTCTTAGCGGGGTGGAGGGACCTAGATTTAGACGTCAGGCCTGCCCAGTAACTGTGGATGTGGTGGCCCTATTGCCCACATTTTCCAGCAGAGCCCTGATTCCAAGTATTTTATCCTGTTGGCCTTACAAACAATCCAAATGCCCTAGAAATTCCACCATCGACACTATATTTTCTAAAGTGTTTTTTATTACTGTAAAAAGCACAGAAATCCTTTGTCAGACTGTGTCACCCCAGTCTTTGGTTTGAAAAATAGACCACTGTGTTTATGCAAAGAAGACGTTTTGTTTGTTTGTTTAAATGGTGAGGTTTACAAAGGCAAAAACAGGCCCTGTTTGGGACGCTTGAAATTAGAAAGAGCTGACTCAGTCCAAGCTCTCTTCCCGTTCAAGCTGTTCCCCCAAGCATGGGTGCATATAGTCAGATGCCCCTTCGACATCAGCGGGGCAGGGGCTGTGATGCCAGGAAGTCAGGCAACTGTGGCAGGATCCCTGCCCTCAGAGCTTCACGGTCCATAACTGGGGTGGGAGGGGGGTGGGGGGGAGTTTTCGATTCACTGTAACTAATACAGCTTTAAAGTGTGAGTACATTAGGGGATGTTGAGGTCCCCCTGGTGGGAAGATCCAGAAAGATTCCGATTCACTAAACCTCACCAGAGCTGGGACAGTGGCAGTCTACGGCATTGTATTGTGCAGAGCCCGTCACTGGCCAGCCCGGAGTCAGGAACCACTGTGGGAGGAGTGGAGAGGTGAGGAGAGGAACACATACAGGGAGGGAAGGAATTTTGGGTGCCATCTGTACAGACAGCCCTACCATATTAACTTAAACTTATGGATCTAAGAGCTGAAGAATAGCAGCTTGTTGTTTTGGCTAGCATGTTTCAGGTCACTGCTAAGGGCTGGCTGTGTTCTCCCAGTTGTCTAGGGGTGTGAGTTTCTGTACATCATTCCCTGTGGGCAAGCTGTCCACTTGGGTCCGGTTTCTTCCTGTCATGCCCCACCCAGGATTAAAGATGGTTTCTGCCAAGTTTACTTTGAGAATGATTCTGCTGAGGCACAAGTGGATTTCTAGGCTTCTTATCCATCTTCTTTCCCCTACCTCTTCTCTTTGCTGTCTACCGGTTCCTTGCCCATGGCATCCACCCTTCTTACCAAAGTTCCTGCCTCTCTCTCATTCCAGGCACTAAAACAGGTGCAGATATCGGTGATGGGAGCTGCGAGCCTGCTCTGGCCTCCCCAACCTCCCACACGAACCCTTTCCCAGTGCTCCATCTCGTTGAGGACTTGAGACTGGCCCTGGAGATGCTGGAGCACCCTCAGGAGAGAGCAGCCCTCCTGAGCCAGATCCCGGGCCCCACAGCTGCCTACATCAAAGAGAGCTTGGTGAGTGGGCCCATGGCCTGTTTGGGAAACCACTGGGAAACATAATCACACAACCACGGGGCCCACAGCATGCCACACCTCCTGAGACTATTACCTCTGCGCACTTTCCAGCCTCTTCCTGCTTCCCATCCAGCTTTGGCCGGCCCCTGCTGGGTAGTCCTTTCCAGCAGGAGAGAGAGCCCAGGCAAGCAGCTTAAGCCTCACAGTCAGGCTGCCTGTGCGCTCCCGTCATCATGCTCCCTGAGAAGGGGGAGATCCAGGGTCACAGGAGAGCAAGCATGAATGTTTTTCCCTGCAGGATCACATGTACAACTTGCCGAGTTATAATCCCCAGCTGGGGTCTCTATACTCAGTCGTGCCCCCCGTTCCTTGTTTCCTGCAACAGCTAGAACCTTGTCACCTCACCCACTCCTTCACTGCTGCCCTTGCTCTTCAGACCTCCTTGCCCTGGTGCGTTCTGTCCCTAGAGTGGGATGCAGGTTTCCTAACACCCCTTCTGCTCTCTTGGGATCAAGGCTACACACCTACTAGTCTCTAAGGGAAGGAGACAAGGAACCAAAGCTGTAAGAGACCAGCTGGTCTACTTTAAGAGCCGATGATATTCGGGACTGGGTAAGGTGAGGAGCTTGCCCGCTGAGGACGTGTCTAAACTGCAGCCATTCCAGGGCAGGAGAGAGGAAACTGGGAAGCTTGAGGGAGCATGTGATTGCCTAAGCTGAGTTTGGGGATGAAAGCCAAAATGCAGTCGTCTAAAGCTGGAGTCCTGCAGACTGATCCAAAATGGGAAAGTACACACAGAGGTGGGAAGGCCAGAACGGGGCCACTAAACTGGGAGGAAGAGCTTGATGTTGGAAACCCAGGAGGCAAAGATATCCTGTCCAGAGGCTAAGTCATTTGTGATGAGACAGATTGCATCCCAGATATCCTAGCTGACTTTTTTTCTTCTTTTGAGAGGATGAAAAAGTTCATTTTACATAACTGAATGGAAAATAATTCACGAAATAGTAAATAAAATTTAATATAGTCTCTCATGTGCCCTCAAGGAAACGATACCTGATTTGGAGGGGTGATTGCTATGTCCAGGTAGTCTCCTGTGTGGAACTTCTGTGACTGCAGGCTCATGCAGTCATCAGTCCCCTTCCTCCCAGACATGGTTTGCCAATCTCCTTTCCTCGATAGCCAGGCTGTTTTAGGATCTGTAAAAACAATTGCAAAACTGAAGTGTGTGCCCTTCTTTCTAGCTTCTGGGTAGAGTTCTACTAAACTAGTCAGTTCTTTCAAAGTTGCATCCATCCAAGTGTAGATGTGCAGTTCACTAGACGGTACGTTTCCGCAGGAGAATTCGTCCATTTGGTGGTGGTGGCCATTATTGGTGATGAAAACACACAGCGGCAGCAGGCACATAGTCGATACAGTCTCATACCCGTGCCTTCCTCTGAACACTGAAGAACTCTTCGTTATATTTGTACTTGTTATTCAAGATTTTCATTATGTAGGCTGCCTACCTGGTGTCCAGTATCATACCTACACCAGTGTGGTAGGGAGAGGAGTGGTCTCCCAAAGACGTCTATGTGCTAATCAACCAGAGCCTGTGCATATCACTTTCCATGGCAAAAGGGAAGGTAACAGATGGAATCGTGGTGGTTAATCAGAGTTTAAATAGGAAGAGCAAGCCGTGTGGATTGCCCAGGTAGGCCCAATGTAGTCACTGGCGTCCTTATAAGTGGAAGGAGGCAGCAGAAGAATCCATGTGGGAGCAGTGGGAGCCGACCTTTCCAGGTGGAAGTGCATCAGGAGCCGAGGGACACAGGCGGGGGCTGGAAAATTGGCTTCCCCCCTGAGCCTCCAGCACCTTTCTTTAGCCGAGAGAGCTCCACATGGGACTTCTGACCTCCAGAACTGTAAGGCAGTATGTTTGTCTTGTTAGAAGCTGCAAGGTTTGTAGTTTGTAGTAATTTGTTAAGGCAGCAATAGGAAGTACAGCCAGATGCTGCCTGGAAGAGGGTAGGGAGGCCTGTGGGGTGGCTTGCAGGTGGGCCAATTGCCGTCTAGTTTTGCAGACCTCCTTGTGTCATCCCCAAATGAAGATAGTCCTTGGTGGGCTCTCAGACTTGTGTCACTACCAGACCGAAGGCTGCACCAGCTTCTCCACTCACCCTTTCCAGCCCGGGGTCGGTCAGGAGTTGCAGGGGGGTTTTAGGAGTTAATTCTTCTCTCACATCCCGAGGCAGAAGGTTCTCTGCCTCCCTCAGGTTTCACCAGGAATTCTGGCTGTTCCTGACTTCTCTCCAGTCCTCTCTGACCATCTTTTGCTCTTTTCCTTGGGCATGGACACCCATCCCTCCCTCCATTCCCACTAGCCTGACTGACTCCAGCTTCTGTGTTTAATGGGAGCTTGGTGACACCTAAAGAGAGTTACTGGTCTTTCGGCCCTCGATCTGCCTCCACCTGGAGCCCTTGGGTCCAGATGCCTTTTAGAAGTCAGAGCTTATTAAACCTTATTAAACAGTGTATCTCTGCTGTGTAATCTATTCTCTCTCTAGCAGGCAGGGAGCAGGAACACATTAACGTTTCTTCAGCAAAACTCCTGAATGTCCTGAATGGGATAAAGAAAGACTAAATATTCTGCTAGTTCAGGTCCAGTTAGACTGCCAAATAATGGCACCAACATTATCTTTTTAAAAATAAACAAACCTTTTGATTTTCAGAGCTATGGGGGTTTCAGAATTGTAGGTATGGGATGGTGAGCTTATATGTGGAATGTTTCAGTGTTGAAAACAAAATTTAAAAACCAAATGTTGGTTATCAAATGTCACTACTCCTAGTATCCATCAGCCACAGTTCTCCTAAAGTCACTCGTTGATTCTTTCTGTCCTTGGGCTTTCTGTCACCATGTGCCTGGGGCCCCTTGGAAACTCCCAGACCGAGCTTTTTCCAAGGTTTCCTGAACGCTTGCATCAGGCTGCAGGGCAGTTTAGCATCTTGTTTTACATGCCCCTTCTTGGCTTGCCCGGGCCCTCACCATCACATAACCACAAGATGCCTTGGAGTGTCTTCCCCAGTGAAAGCCCGGTCTTCCCAGAGTACAGGAAATAGCTCTTGGTTCTTTTCTTCTCTGTATAGTTTACAATGATTATGTACTTCTACCTTGTATGGCCATGCCTGGATTTATGTGACCACTCCTCTAATAGTAACATTTAGGTTATCTTTAGTCTTTCACTAATCTATAGCTTCGCTGCAGAGAACGTCCAGGAATATTTTTATCTCTAGACATTTCCTTAAGATAGAGTCCTACAGGTGAAACTAAAGTAAACAGACACAATACAAGATACTCCATTAAACTTGAATTGTAGATAAGCAATGGACAATTCTTACTATGTCCCATGCAGTTTGCCAAATCTGGCAACTCTAATCCAAGCGTATTAATATATTTAAGCCTTTGACCCATTTTTTCCAAACCACTTTTCAGGAAGATTTTACTCATTTATATTTTCACTGGCAGGGTTTGAGGTACATCCTGATCAACAACAATCACTAAGATTTAAAAACCAGCTTTACTCATTTCTAAAGAAAAAAGGTCTTTTTACCACTTTGTACTTCTTTGCTTAGTGGAAGGCTAAAGATTTTATTTGTATTAGTATTCTTTTGTATGGTCTCCAAAGTTTTGATCTCCTATCCCTATCTGGAAAAAGATTCATTTTCAATTTATACATACTTATATACATAGTATTGCCCTATTGTATATAAATCATAAAACATAGCCCCAAACAGGGATTTTCAAGGGATATGTTAAAAAAATAGATCTAATATTTTCCTCCTGCACACCCCAGAGTCACCTTGGATCTGCTTATTCCGCCTTGGTCTATTCATATTCTATGTTCTTCTCCCCTCTCCCTTGTAGGATTTTAGTGCTTTTTCTTATATATTGACCTTTTTAAGAGAGGTCACTTTGTGGCATTTTTCTTACTTTGTTTTTAAAATGCTGTTTGTGGTGCTTTTTGAGACTAAACTTTAAAAGGTTGTAATTAACGATCAGTCTTTCCTGTTTGGGTTTCTTGTTTTCCTTTTATCGCTAGAAAGGCCTTTTTTTTAAACCTCAGATCAAATAATACCTGTATCCTCCTCTAGTAAGTTCATGGTTTGATTTGGGTCTTAGAGTTCACTTGAGTTCACCTGCAATATTTCTTAGTGTGTGGTGTGAAATAGCACTAACGTCGATAACTTACCAAAAAGAATTCTTCTATATTTTTGATCCAAAGGCAGTCGACATGTTTATCAGTTTTTCAAGATGTGTTGCTGAAAACCGCTTATATTAAGATCTGTAGATCTGTTTTGAGGTTATTTATGGTGGTTGGGGAATGCCTGCCTTTGAAGAGAGTTTTCCTGAAAGTTGTTGCGTTCAGAGTCTTCTAGAGTAATTATTGCCCATCAGCAGCTTATGACCGGTGTACTTTTAGGGCGGGTCAAAAGTTCATATAAACATTCCAGGATACCAGCACAGCATGTTAAGTTTTGATTCTGGGCAGAGACCGCCTGTCTGTATATTAGATGTTGTAGACCTAAAGTCCTTTTATAATCTGGGGGTACACACATTCCATAGTAGGTCTTACCTGTATGGAAGAAGAGTCCAAAGTAGTGAAGAAACCCACTGGTACACATTGGATTGGTTTTAGATGGGTAGTCAGAAGGCTTCCCCATTTAAACTGTGGTCTGTGGACCAGCAACCTTGCCATCCCCTGGTAGTTTGCTTGTTGCTTGGTGTTTTTATAAAAGGGCAGAACCCCCGCAGGTATACCTATCGAACCATCTTCCAGTGATTCATAGTCATGTTTAATGTTAAAGTTTGAGACACACTGCCATAAACCACAGAGACTTGAATTATTTAAAAAATACATGTGGCTTAGAATTGGAACAATCAAGGCTGCTCGAAGGGTCAGGCAGGCAGTGGTTATCCTTGTCCTCCAGGATAGTTGTGTGTCCCTCATGTGTTTGTGCTAGTC